CCCTCCTCCAGTCTGCCCCCCTCTCCCTCCTCACCCTCCCTGCTCGTGCTGCCTCCTCGCTCCCCTTCCCCCCCCTCTCCCCCTCCCCTCCCTCCGCCTTGTGGCCCGCCGCGATGCTCTCCCTGAGCCGATGCTCTGGCGACGGGATCCTGCGAGTTCCCGGGGAAGTCTGCGAGCCTCCTCGGGTCTTGCTCGTTCTTCTTCCCTGTTCTTATGGTCATCATTACTATGTATTCTCCTTCTCCTTCTTCTTACTATTTCATCGCTTTGCTCATTCCGCCGGCCCATATTGCGCGCCTTGCAAGCCTTTGGGGGGCTTCCTGGGCGGGCGTCGGGCTCGAATTGACGGTTCGCGCTCCCCCTCTTGGGCCCGTGTTGGGGCAGTTTTGGGGTTCTTTTGGGCTGTTTTGGGCGCCTCTTGGGCCGTTTCTTGGCCGTCTCAAGATGTCCTGGAACTTTCTCTGAGGGGCCTCTGGAGCCGTCTTGGAGCTTCGGATGCTCGAAAAGGCGATAGCGCGAAACACATTGAAGACCACAATCAAAATATCACTGAATGTTGTCTCTGTGTGCCCTCTTGGGGGCCTCGTGGAGCGCTCTTGGGGCTTCTCTAAGGCCTCTTTGGCTGCCTTGGAAGCATCTTCGGCCACCTTGGTGTTTTCGATGGTCTCGCAGGTCCGTCTTGGAAACCATCTTGGACATCTGGGACGCATCTTGGGCGCATTGCAGAGCGCCTGGAACCTATCCCACCGTTGTGCGTGTGTTGTGGGTCTGAATCGTCAGGGATGCTCGTGGAGAGCGAGAAGTAAGAGGAGGACGATGAGCAGGAGGAGGAGAAGGAGGAGGTGGAGACCGATCGCAACCACTTCGGACCGAGCGTCGACCACTTCGGACTGATCAGAACCAGTTGCGATCGGTCCGAAGTGGTTGATGTTCTTGGGTCGCTTCGATAAGGTTTCGATTAAGGGACATATCAGGAGAGCGCTTCTGGGTGCACGGAAATTACCATATGATTCGTGTACAATTCCACTGTGATTCGTCCAAGGAGCTCGCCAGAATTCTAAGATGGTCTCTTCGGAAATCTTGAGAAATCCCACGGGTCTTACCGATTCCCAGATTCCTGGGAGGGCCTCCTAGGGAATCCTTGGGAATTCCAGGGATCCCACCAATTGCCAGATTCCCGAGAAGGATCCCTAAGAAATGTTAAGAATTCCCGCGGATCAGGCACTTCCCAGATTCTTGGGAGAACCTCCTAAGGAGTCCTCGGAATTTCCAAGGATCAGTCCTCTCAGAGATTTCGGCCTCTCAAAGGCCTCAGAGAAGCCTCTCAGAGACGTCTCTCAGAGGTCTCATAGAAGTCTCTCATAGAAGCTTCTCAGAGGCCTCAGAGAAGCCTCTCAGAGAAGCCTCTCTGAGGCCTCAGAGGAGCCTTTGAAAAGCCTCAACGAAGCTTCTGAATGGCCTCGCTGGGGCCTCTCAGATGCCTCGCTGAGAGTTCTCCAGAAGCTCTGCAGAAGCTCTTCAGAAGCTCTTCAGAAGCTCTTCAGAAGCTCCGCTGAAGCTCCGCAGAAGCCCTGCAGAAGCTCTGCAGAAGCTCTGCAGAAGCTCTGCAGACGCTCTTAAGAAGCTCCGCAGAAGCTCCGCAGAAGCTCTGCAGAAGCTCTGCAGAAGCTCTTGGATCGGTTGCAATCCGGTGTTCTCCACAAAGGTTTGTATAGGAATCCTTCAGGTTGCGATCAGTCCGTTTCCAGTGGTTGTAATTTGACCGACGTAGGTTCTGAACAGTCCGAAGTGGTTGTAATCGGTCTCACTCTCGAGGGGGAGGGGAGGATGAGGATGAGGAGGAGGCCTCTCGACCGCTTCTTGGGGCATTTTGGGGCCAAACTTTATCGTGGACGCGACGCCTGTTTGGGAGGCTGCTTATGGGGTCTCTTGGGAGGCCTCTCCGGGGCCTCCTGGCGGTATTTTGGGGCCCTCCTGGAGCCTCTTCGGAGCCTCCTGGGAGCCTCTTGCGAGCCTCTTGGAGGCCTCTTGTAGCCTTCTGGGGGCCTTGCGGGGCCGAGAGCTGAAGTGTTCGTTCGGGCGCCTCGTCAGGGCCCGCTCTTGGAGCTCTCCTGGGGGCCTCTTGGGCCGTCTTGGAGGGCTCTTGGGCCGTCTTGGGGCCCTCTGGGGCCGTCTTGGGGCCCTCTCGGAGGCGTCTCGGGCCGTGTTGGGGCGATCTTCAGGGCCTCTTGGGCCGTCTTGCAGCGCGGGCAAGACGAGAGGCGAGCATTCCTGAATACTTGAACCAACCCAAGGAAATCCATAACTTTTTGCCTCTGGGGGGCCCTCTTGGGGGTGGCTCTTGGTGGCCTCTCGGGGCGTGTGAAAGGCTTCCTGGGCCACCTGAAGGCCACATTGGGCGTCTTAGACCGATCGTTCGCCAACTGGGAGCCCTCCTGGACCGTCTCGGGGGCCTTTGGGGGGGCCCTCGCGGAGCGCTCTGTGGAGGGCCTGAAAGGGCGGCGCCCAGGAGGAAAGCCACCTACGAACCGAACTGGCCGGGGTGCTCTTCTTCCGAGGGTCCCCAGGCGCCGCCCCGCGCGCGCGAAACAGAAATGCGGTGGAGAAGTTACCAGGGAATCTTGGCACGCCTCTGGCCCGCTGGGCCAGCGAGTTGTCATTCTGAGGCTGTTCTTCATGTTATCTGTCTTCTCCTTATCATTACTCGTAATAGTACGGATGTTAGAATTTGAAATAGTATCACCATCATTTTATTTGTACTACTACTTTTTTTCATTACAATTAATCTGCTTATTTCGTTCATTATGTTGAGTGCGCGTTATTATTCCGATTGATCGTGGTGACGATCACGATTCCAATACTGATCATCATGAGCATGACCGTTAGTCAGCATCATCATGATCATCATGAGCATTATTAGTAGGATTATTTCTATTATCATTTTTATTACTATTATGCTTCGTCTTCTTCTTGTCCCTCTCTCCTCCCTGCTCCCGCCCGCGCCCGCGCGGCGTGACCTCCCCCGCAAGGGAGCGCCGCCTTTTCTGGCGCGGCGCGGCGCGCCTACCGCCGCCCGAAGGGCTCCCCCCCAGGAGGATCCCCTGCGCACCTCAGCCGCTCCATGCCATGGACCCGGTACAGCCAGGGCCCTGGTTAAGGAGGAGGAGGAGGAGGAGGAAGGGGGTAGAGGAGGAGGGGACGGAGGAGGAGGAGGAGGAGGAGGAGGAGGAGGAGGGGGACGAGCGGAAGTTGGTATAGCCAGTGCCCCACTGAAGGGGACCCGATTAGTGATTGGGCCCCGAAGCCCAAAAGATGCATTGAAATCAGGTCCGCCGTAGTTGTTTTTTTCGTGTGGCGGCAGTTATGGTTCGTGGAGTGGGGCGGGGGGAGAGTCCCCTGGTACTCTAGGCCTCCCAAGTGGAGTCGGAGCAGATGGGGTCGAAGGATCACGCCGCATCGCCGATGCATCGGCGATACGGCTTGATTCGGAGCCCGACTTTCGCCACGCCGACGGTGCAAATGCATCGCTGACATCGCCGGTGCATCGCCAGTGCATCGCCGGTGTACCGCGGATGCATCGCAGACGCATCGGCGACGCATCGGCGATGCGGCGCGATCCCTAGGGCCCCAACTACTCCGACCCCATCGAGGAGGCCTCCAGGTACACATCGCCAACCCAGGTCCCACTAAACCCAGTCCCGCCAACGCCCCACCGGGGCCCACCCTCGGCCTGACCCGCGAGCGATTCGGCTCGGGCCCCCCGAGCCCAACCAGCGCACCCCGAGCCGCTAGGGAATCGGGCGCGGCGGGCGGTGGTGCCAGGGGTGGCTCGGCGCCCTCCCCCCAGCCGCGGGGGAGGGGTCTGCCAGACCGTCCCAAGGACCGAGCCCTGTGTTCGGTTGGCACGGATGGCCCAGACCACTTCCCCTCCCAAGTGCCAGGGAGGTGGGACTTGGTTCCCAGAGGGGCCCGGTCACTGTCACCCCTAGCGGGGTTCTGGGGCCCCGCTCGCCGCTCTCCCCACCCCGTCGCAAGGGGGGGGGGGTCTGTCAGGCCGCCCCCAGGGCCGAGCCCTGGGTTCGGGCAGCACGGATAGGCCAGAACGGGATCCCCCCCACCCAGGTGCCCAGCAGGCGGCATTTTGTCCCCGAGTGCGGGCATCCCAA